CTTTTTCTGAGTTATTTAGTTATTGAGAAGTTAAAATTTGTTCAATGGCAGATCTTATTTTTAAAAAAAAACTGTTAGTGAACATTTTACCAAGGTGTTCGGATACGTTTCCTTTAATATTGTAAAAATATTTATTATCAATGATAGACTCTCTTTTTTTCACAGGATAAAATTTGTTAGTATCTCATCATACACATGTGGAATAAGTAAAATACTGTTTTTCTAACGATTATGTAGAACAAAATTGAACTGGAACAAAAATTTGTTGGAAAGGCTAGTGAAAAATATAACTTTTTAGGGGACATAATAGAAGACCCCCCTTGTAACTTATAAGCGATAAGACAGAATAGGAGACCCCGGGTCTTCTAATGTGTCGGTGGCTTTACGCCATCCCCAGCAGTTTCTCTAAATCCTTCTTGTTTTTCTACATTCTTCTTGTTTCTCTACATTTCTTCTCTTTATTCTTATTTTCTACCCGCTTTCTCTCCTTTTTTGTTTCCCACCGTTTCCCTGATCTCCTTCTCAATTTTCCTTTCTTTTTTCTCTTCTTGCATACTTTAATATACTCAACTATATTTTTAGGTTGATTTTAGTATTTTTGCTCTGTCTCACCCTAAATCGTAAAGTATGGCTATTACTTGCTTGCTCGTATTTGCTTTTTATGGCTTTTTCTTCATTCTCTTTTTATTTCTGTTCTGATAGACTTGATATTCGCACTTTCATTAAAAAGATTGAAAACTTATATATTCTTATGATATGATTTCTGATGTACCTTCTAGCTTTGGCTGCAACGGCAGTGACGTGTAGAGAAGGAAAGAAAAAAAATAAGGAGGAAACATGTTACGAATGCAACATTTTTTTAATGATTCCATGATGTACCTTTTAGCTCTGGCTGCAACGGCAGCGACGTGTAGAGAAAGAAAGAAAAAAAATGAGGAGGAAATATGTTACGGATGAAATTTTTTTTTTAATGATTTCATGATGTCGAGAACAAACATCTACAATTAGTTGGAAAAAACCAAGTTAACAGAGTATTTAGTTTCGAGAAGATGCTGTATTCACATTTCAAAACTTTCAAGAAGGAATAGTTTATACAACTGTCGAGGTATGTAAAAAATCGTAGAATTATAAATGATTTAGTTGTATCAAGTTTTTCATGAGCTTTGCACCGGTTAATGAAAATGAAAATATTTTGTAAAAAGCATACAATACTGTATTGGCATATTAACTTGCGATAATCTTACTAACAGTTTCGTAAAGCTTTTATTATTATACGGAATTTATTACAACGTCGAAGAATGAATTGTTTGCCATAAGATTCATGAATTGTGTATAAAACGCTACATCTGACTAACATCCCCGAAAGAATTTGAGTATATATAGACATTAACGATGACAAAGATTCCGAAAATTTCTTATCATGAGTACTTGATGATGGCTGAGTGTTTCGAAAATATGACATCAGGTAATAGAAATTTTCATTAACACGTAAAAAG